TGCATGCATGCATACACACATACATACACACATACATATATACATGCATGCATGCATACATGCATGTATTCATGCATGTATATATGTGTATCTATGTTTATGTATACATATATATATATAAGCGTCAAAAAAATGTCTTCTTGACTTGGTCGTCGGGGGCGTTGGGCGGGAAAACCAAGTTCTTTCAAGGGCCGAAACGCCCCCCGACGAGTCTTCGCTGGACTGCCTGGGCCCCATCGACCCCAGCCGCGCGCGCGCCCGCGCGGCGCAGGGCCACCGCCCGAGCACCGCCACCGTTTCCAACCCCGCCCGAACCAACGCCCGCACCATCACACGGCCAACCGACTCGACAGCAGGCCGCAGATCTTCCTCGAGGGCGGAGCGCTCCAGGCCTCGTGCCAAGCTGGCCTGGGGCGCACCCGCTCGCGCCTCGCCAGCGCCTGCGGCCGCGGCGCCGCTGGGCGGCGGCGAACGCGCCGCGGCGAGCCACCGGCGAAGGCGCCTCAACGGCACCCGCGCCCGTGGCGCCGTTCGGACACGCAGGCTGGGCCGACGGGCCAAGGCGGCCCTCTGGCGGCGCATGGCCGCCTGCGGCGGCCGCGCCCTGCGGCGCCGACGGCGCGCCGCCGCGGGGAACGCCCCCCGCAGAACAGAGCGCCGCCTCTGCGGGCGCCGTCGGCCCGTCGGACCCCACGGCTCGGGCAGCGCGCGCAGCGCGAGCGGCGAGGGGACGGGAAGCGGGCCCCCCACTCGGGGTGCCTTGACGGAGCCAACAGGACCAGCACGAGCCGACCCAGAAACGCGGCGGCGCGGCAGAATGCGAGTGGGCATGACACACCACGTCAGACCTCGCACGCCCCCCTCGCTCCAAAGAAAACGCGGACTGCCACCTCCAACTGGAACCTCCACTGGCGCGCCAAGAAGGCGAAAGGGAAGCGCCCCCGCCAACTCGCGAACCCCCGCATCCACTGGGGTGCGACACACGGCCCCAGCGACGGCCCGCCCAGGAGGCCCAGGCCTCGAGCTGCTCCGTCCTGCACTACTGGGCCCCCCCTTCAGCACGGCGCGCCATGCCCCACCTGCTCGGCGCGCCGCCAGAGCACAGCTGTCGTGGCGGACGCGACTGGCGCTCGCGCCACCACAACCCCGCCCTGGGGCGCGTCCGCCCCGCGCAGCCAGGAAGAGAAGCTGTCGCGCAGGCCCGCCATGGCGACGACGACAACGAAACGCTGGCTTGCACCTCGCTGCGCACAGCGCTGGGCAGGTCCACTCCTCCACCCCGTCGGGCCACGACGACGGGAAATTGCAATTGCGGGTGAAGACGAACAAGACGAGCAGTCTGCACAAGAGAATTCGCACCCAAAGTTCGACTAGCGAGCTCCGCGCGGACTTGGTCGCCAGACCGAAATACACTTGCACGGGGGCCCGCCGACACAAGGCGGCGGCGCGCACTGGGGGCGCGCAAACGACGCGAAGGCGCCCCAACTACCACGTTGTGAATGACCTCCCTGGCCCTCTTCCCAGGGTGCTCCACTAGGGCCACGGTGGAGAACGGCGGTCGCTAGCGGCGAGCGCCTCGCGACCCCTGCGCCGCGGAGAGTCGGGCCGAGGAGCCGTGGCCCCAGACCACGGCAATTCCTGGAAGGCCGCGTCGTCGTCGATGTCCAGCATCTCGACATACGGCGACCGAGGAAGCGCCAAAATTTGAACGGCCTGTCCCCACGGCCTAGGAGCCTCGAAGCTCTTCTCGGGCCCCCATGAGAGCTGCGCCCATCTCGGCGGACTCGCAGCCCCCCGTCGCGAGCGCCGAGGCGAGGAGACACGTCCAGACCCGCCAGGTCGCGGCGATAGCCGCTGAGAGCCCCTCAGCGATGTCTGGACAGTCTCACTCGGAGCGCGTCGCGCCGCGCTCGCGCGGGAAAGACACGGAATGCGCCCCAGAACTCTGCGGGTCGTCGCAGGAGATTGAAGCCAGAAACTCAACGCAAGAAGAGCCCATCACCCGGCCGTTTGGCGCTGGGCGACACGCCGGGGCATCGGCCGCTGACCGCCGCGGCGTTGCGGATCGGCCGACCGCGCACCGCGCCGGGCCGAGCGGGCGGCACTGCGGGCCTCGCCCCAGGCGAGGTCCGAGGAGGGAGCGAGGCAGAAGGCCCCACGTCGACCCCATTATCGAGGTCGGGCACGCCCCCCCACAGGCAGATTCTCGACGAAAAAATTAGGAGATATCAAAAAAGTAATCAAACATGATCCAAAAATATTCAGAGAATCGCCCCCGCAATACGTTTCACTATGTTTCAAATTCAATGCCGAATACGAAACGCACATGAGACAGCAAAGCAAGCAAAATGCAGAGAGAGACAGGCCCGACTTAACATCATCTCAACAGTTCCAGCAGCTCTGACCTGTCCACGTGAACCCGCGAGGGGCGCAGGCCCTTTGGTCACTCCCCCGCAGGCTCGCGCATCACTTCAGGACGCAAGTAGGCGGACCTGGCGACTGCGTCGCGCAGGTAAGGAACTGGGTCGAACGGGGGAGAATTCCCACTCTGTTCGACTGGCCCTGACCCGACGGTCGAAGGGCTCTGCGGAGGACGGAACGGAACCCAATCCGCAGCGGCGGCCATCGAGTCGCCGGCGACAACGGGCGCGCCGTCGCGCTGCATTACTGGCGGCTGCCTAAGAGGAGCGGGGGTGAGACAGGGAGAGACGAGAGGCCTCGAGCGCGGACGCATGGGAAACCAGACCCCGGAGCGCAGCCTCGGCAGACTCAAACTAGCGAGACGTCGCCCGACCTCGGTCGCCCTCGCTCCCGCGAGACAATCGAACTGCGGTCCCACCTAGGCGACTCAGGCGCCTCTTGACCCCCCCCGGGCCAACGGGCGCCTCCGCGCTCACGGGGGCCGAGGTGGGCACTCGGCCGGGGCGCCCGAAGGTCATCCAGCTCAGAGCGGCAATCGCATGCGGGACACGCGCCGGCGCGGCGCACAACAATAACACTCGCCAGCGCTCTCGAGGTCGCCCCGAAACGAAATCGGGCCGGGCGGGGAGATGCGGCGGGGGGGGCAAGGCCAGGGATCGCGAGAGGGCGGAGTCGGCCATGGAGGCCTTCTGGCCCCCAACCAGCGGCGTCAATGAAGCAGCGGGGAAGGGGCCGAAGGCGCACGGAATTCCCGCCCAAACGGGCCAAAGCGGCGGCCCAGCGGGCCGCTTCGACGCGAGCCCCACGGAGGAACAGGCGGAGCAAGGCAGACAAACCAAAGATAAAGCGCGCCATCGCGCCAGTCCCGGGGGCACGGGGGGAGCCGGCTCAAACTCTCGGGGGCGCACTGCTGGCAGGCGGCCAACGGGCCCAGGTCGTCGAAGCCTGGCCCTGCGCTTCGTCGAGCCCAAGCCTTCGGCGCCGCGCTCCCCCGAGGGGCCCCTGGGGGAGCGCGTCGGCGCCCTGGGCGTCTCTGGCTTCGGCTTCGGCTCGCGGCCGCGCGAGACGGCGCCCCGTGCGCAACGGTCGCAGAACCGCTGGAGCCCCTTGTCGTACTCGCCTTGGTCCGACAGCCACCCCAGGCCCACCAATGGAAAGCAACCGCGTGCCCCGCCCGCGGCACTGAGCCGTCGCGCGGAGCAGAGGCGGCGAGCCCGGTCCTGGAGCATCACCCGGCAGCCGATCAGGGCGCGCACGCGATCTTCCCACCCCTCTTCCTTGGCGCGCCACTGCTCCGCCGATAGGAAGGCGCGCGAGGAGCGGACGCCGCTCCGATCGCGCGCCAGGCGGACTAAGGTCGCGGAATTACGCCGCCACACTGCTCGGCCCCACGGACTCCGCCCGCAGGCGCAGCTGCCGCCTCAGATTTTCCCGAAGGACCCCCCAGCTACGGGCCGCGATGATAAACGATCAGGTCCTGCCACTCCCGCTGCGGCGCGAGCCCGCGCGCGGGCACGGCCCCCGCCACGCTGTCCTCGAGCTCCCACGACGCGCCCGCGGTGCCCGACGGCCCACGGCCCCGCAGAGCCAGGCACTGCAGAGCCAGGTCCAGGCTCGACGCCAGGCGGCTTCTTCCCATGAACGGGCGCCCCCATCGGGCAAGCGCGTCGCGGGCGCTGCTAGCCCCGGGGGCGGGGGCATATCCGCTTCCGGCAACCGCCTCGGGGGCGCCCCCAGAGCTTTCCCCTGGATCGCAACTGGCACCGAGGATCTCGAGGTAGCGCCCCGTCCGGGGGGGGGGGGGGGCGCCGCGCAGACGCTGGCGCCGGGGCGGCCTTCAACAGCGCCATCAAATGAGGGCTCGAGCCGGACAACCAGGGCGCGGCCGCGCGGGACGCGGGCGCGTTCGCAATGGGACCCCCGCAGCGGCTGACACCGCGGCTCCGCGCGGGGCCGCGTGATACTACACCAGTCGACGAGCGATTTCGGAGGCAAGCCACCCTCGCGTCACAACCTCGCCCTCGTTGAAATGAGTTGCGCCAGCTCCGTCCTTCCCCCCCCCAGCCTGGGGGGCGCCCGCCAGAAGTTGGGGAACTCTGGCGCCGCGTCAAGAGGCGGGGCTCCAGCCCCCGCCCCCCGCCCGCTGCCATCCGAGGCGAGGCCCCCGCTTCGCGCCCTAGCTCGGCGCTGCGGGGCCCCGAGAGGATCTACATGAACGGCTCGTTTTCGCCTCCGCCCACAGCATCATCTTGCGACGCATAGCCGCATAGGGCGTGGCGCGCACCGACGCGGGGCCCTCCTCGCGTTCCGGCGTCAGCAACGTTGCGGGCCCTCATCCACTGCCCGCGCAAAACGCGCACGCCAGAAGGGTGGAGCCATCGGCCCATGCCCCGAATGTGTCCAAAATGGGCAAAACTCGCAGGGTGGTCCCCACCTGCGATCACAAGAGTGACCCAGCAGCAGCCGACGCGCCCAAATCCAGCACCAAGGCTTCGCCCGCGGCGCCGAGCGCCCGCGAAGCAGCCCTCTGCAAGAGGGCTCGACCATCAAATGCGGTCGCAGGAAGCCGACGAACCCTGCCTCGTCCGCGGCCACCAGGCCTTCCGTCACGGCGAACGCCCATGGGAGGGCTCACGGAATGCCGCCCTCCCACTGCTGCATCAGAATGGCAACACACGCCGCTCCGAGAGACGACAGCCACCAACGCGCGCACCCGTGAGCCGCGGGTCGCTCGAACCAGGGATGATGCCCTAGATCCAGAACCTCGCCAGCCATTACTGAATGGACTTCGACCGCACGGCCTAGGCGTAGCACGGGCCTCTGGAGAGGCCTCGCGCCCGCTGAGCACCCAGAGCTCAGCTTGGGGCGCTGGGCCCATTTACTAACTACGAGAGGGCGTAAAGCACCCCACACCCGCTGGCCCTCAGGTGCACCGTAGCCCGCCGCGCAGCGAGCTCCCAGACCGCAGAGATTGCGAGGGTCCTGGCGGGAATGCCGACGCGCCCTCACCCAACGAGCCACGAAAGCTCCGACTACCAGCCGCAGCAACAGCAGCAGGCCGCGGTTGCCCCGGGCTCACCCGAACTCCCACTGGGAGGCCCCGAAAGCGCCCGCCGAGGGTGCTTCAGAGGCCTCGAGTGGAAGAGGTAATGGACGGCCGACGAGCCTCTCGTAGAGAGTGACTCGCAGGCCGTGAAGAAACGATGGCCCCACCCGCTTCTCAGGCCGCGCTGCCGAGGGGCGACCAACGTGCGGAGGCGCGCGGGCGCGGCCGAGGGGCGGGCCTTGGGCCAGAAACTTCATGAGAACCTTGCTGGCGCGGAACGGGCGGTGATAGGAAGGGCATGAGGATGAGAAGGATGGCTATGACGAGGAGACTGGGAGGACGAGGGCGATGATGACTGCGAGGGGGCCCGGGACGAGCACGAGGACGAGGCGCCGGCGGCGGCGGCGCGGACGCTTGGGCAGCGACTCGGTACGCGCCGTGCGGGGAGGGCGGGCGCCTGCAGCAAGATCTGGTAGGCGGCCCCGCCCTGGCCAGAGGGAATCGGGCACCCTCCCCCTGCAGGAGGAAGAGGAGGAGTCAGGAGGAGTCAGGAGGAGGAGGAGGAGGTGGAGGAGGAGGAGGATTCGTCCTCCTCCTCCTCCTCCACCTCCTCTTCTCCTCCTCCTCCTCTTCCTCTTCCTCTTCCTCTTTCTCCTCCTCCTCCTCCTCCTCCTCCTCCTCCTCCTCCTCCTCCTCCTCCTCCTCCGCCTCCTCCCCCTTCTCGAATTCGTCCTCCTCCTCCCTCCTCCCTCCTCCACCTCTTCGTCCTCCTCTGCACCCCACGGACTGCCATAACAGACATGGACACCATCTCCAAAAAGTCGCCGAAGGCGTACAGCACGGCGATGGCGGAGAACACCTAGGCGGACGGGGCGGGGCCCGCAGGGAGATGCGCCACCGCGGCGGCTGGGCCCAGTGCGCCGCAGTGGGCGCGGGGGGCGCAGGTGGACTTCCCCGTTGGGCGGCGGCAGCGGCTGGCAGCAGCGGCGGCTGGCGGCGGCGGGAGCAGCAGCGTCCGAGCAGGAGCATACGGCGCGGTTATGATGATGATGATGATGCTGATGATGATGATGATGATGATGATGATGCTGATGATGATGATGATGATAATGATGATGATAATGATGATGCTGATGCTGATGCTGATGCTGATGCTGATGATGATGATGATGATGATGATGATGATGATGATGATGATGATGATGATGATGATGATGGAGATGCTGATGCTGATGCTGATGCTGATGCTGATGCTGATGCTGATGCTGATGCTGATGCTGATGCTGATGCTGATGCTGATGCTGATGCTGCTGCTGTTGCTGATAAAGATGATGATAATGATGATGCTGCTGCTGATGCTGATGCTGATGCTGATGCTGATGCTGGTGCTGATGATGATGCTGATGCTGATGCTGATGCTGATGCTGGTGCTGATGCTGATGCTGATGCTGATGCTGATGCTGATGCTGATGCTGATGCTGATGCTGCTGATGACAATGATGATGATGGTAAGCATGGTGCTTGTAATGAACATCAGCGTGATACTGATGCTGGCGGTGATGATGGTGGTGATGATGGTGATGATGATGACGATGACGATGGAGAGCAGCATGCTGGTCGTGAACATAAGCGTGATGATGGTGATGGTGATGGTGATGCTGATGATGATGATGATGGTGAATATGGTGATGATGATGAGGAGGATGGTGAGCATGATGCTGGTCATGCACATAAGCGTGGCGATCATGACGGTGATGATGGTGATGACGATGGTGATGATGATGGTGATGATGGTGATGATGATAATGTTGACGATGGTGACGATAATGGTGATGATGATGATGTTGATGATGATGACGGTAACTGTGATGGTGATGACGATGATGCAGAAAATGATGATGACGGAGAGCATGATGCTGGTCACATGCGTAAGCGTGATGATGATGCCGGTGATGATGATGATGATGGTGATGATTGTGATGATGACGGCGATGGTGATGGTGATGGGGTTGGTGATGGTGGTGATGATGATG